GGTAAGTTTATGTATATGTAGCTACATTTTACAGTCACTCATTTAATGCAAAGATATTGTTTATTTGTCACGTCACAACTATGTGAAGTATAACTGAACTTTTGTTAAGAGTTGCTGTCCTTACTACAGGCCTGTTGGATGTGCAGCTAGGGTCATGTAGCGGCGTTAACAATAAATTATTTGTTTACATCCGTATATTAGGAATAATAATATAATCTACGTGGCAATAATTCAAAAGGTATTACGTTCGCGTATATGAGGCTGCACATATAATATTGGCCTTTGATTGTTTTCGGTTTTTTAAGCGTTTGCTAGCTCCTTTGATGCTAGTTGTTCACTAAGCGCTGAAGAAAATTGCTAGAATGTGTCTTCAGGCTGTTTATTTCCAAAAGGGGTATCCGCCAGTGTTAGGATAGAGACAGGTTGAAAAAACACTTTTGTAAACGTTATTATGTAAAAATCTATAATTTTCCTAAAGGCTGCATTAGAGTCTGATGAGGTGAAATATACAGTCAAACTGAAAACACGTGCCTGTTTATACTAGGTATTACGGTATCCGCATGACCTATGAATAACAGTTAATAGGAGCGACAGCACAATTCAAATACTCAAAGCGGCGAACCATTGGATACTTAGATTATATTTAATCACATTCACACAGAATAGTTATTCTGGCTGTTTTGAATATGTTTAAACCGTCAGGTCAAACAGCACTGCAATTTATATGGCGCAGATGGTTGAGCAAGCAAGTTCCTCTTTTCATTTTCCTCATGAACTGTGTATTCCAATTCTATTATAATTTCCAACATACCCCTGTCAAAAATAAACAGTCAGTAATGATTGATTGACTGTATTTTTTTCTGCACAGTCAGTTGTGCTTATTTATTTATTTTTTTACTTTGTATGAGTACCAGTTGAGTAGTGGTGGAAGCGATCCTGAAATGTATTACTCTGTGAGAATGCAGTTGTTACGAAAAATGACGACATGATTGACTGTAGGTTATATATTGTTAAATGTCCAAAAAGTAAGAGTTGAGAAAAGTAAAGAAAAAGTAAAGAAAATTTGAATGCTTCTTGTTTCTGAGTACAGCTTCCAAGTCATCTGACCTGAAACTTGCTGTTAATTTTTTTTTTTTAAGTGTCTTAAGTTGAAGTGGCGCTTTGGCCCAGAGGCAATGTCATTGGTGTGAAACCCCAGGGTTCGCCTCCTGGATAAGTTCAAATCCCAGTAAGGGCGGTTGGTACCTTACAGTGGACTCACCACCCGCAGGAAGGTTTAGGGGGGTTAGTACGGTGCAATGTGATTTGGGTGGCGACTGCTGCCCCCGCGACTTGGTAACGGATAAGAGAATGTAGATGGATGGATGGTCTTAAGTAGAATATATACTGCTGTTTTTATCGTCTGGTAATTTGTTGATGTCGCAATTCATGAAGGCTCACGAAGAATCCCAGAGTAATAAGAAATATCACAGGCTGTTGCAGGTACTGGCAGTGTGAATGCTGTTTCTTTATTCAGCTGGAGCAGCCAGGATAGAAAACCACTGATTTACTGTGAATCAGGTAAATTTACAATAAGTGGACTAGAAATGTATGGACACAATTTTTTTCAGAATGTCTCCTGTCTAAATGTGTCATGAAGGTAGAACATATGTCCAGTACTCTTGTGAACGGTCCCCTGTCACTTCTTACTGTAATACATGTTGGTTTGTATTGATAAATGTACAGCTATGGTGCAGTAGTGATGGACAGGTTGACAGATGAGGTCAGACAGGAGTGTCTGTGGAGCATGATGTTTGACCCTGACATTGTACAAGAGGGCACAGAAGAGGTAAAGAATATGATGTAGGCAAAGTCGGGGGCTTGGAGAGTAGCATCAGGGTGACTAATGTGTGACCAAAGTATGGCAAGTCTTAGTGACCTACAATACTGTTCACACTGGAGTCTGATGGCAGTTGCGTTTAATCTATAATTTGAATCACCACGCTAAAAAATATATATAAATCATAGTTTTGCAACAATACCTGCAGTCTGAATATTACCTTGTGTAAGCATTGAGTTTTATTTGTCATAATAACCACCTAGTTTACCAAGACTGTAATATCTAAAAAAAATATCAGCCATGGTTTTATGCCTAAGGCCTTATGTGCCAAATTTTTACAGATCCAGACTCGCTTGACTGCAGTCATAGACTAGACATCAAATGTTACCCAGTGCAGTAGTGGGCTAATCAACTGATTGCTCCGATACTTCACCCTTAATAAGTCAGACAATGGCTCGTTGATGTAGGTGTTATAAATCCTTTTTTTTTTTTTACCCGAGTTCTATAATAGAAAGGCATTATTTTTAATGACCAGTTAAGACCACTAAATTATTGTAATACCTTAAATTAATTATCAATTACTATGCAGTTTATAAAAAAAAGCATTTACTGAGATTTTCAGTTTACTATCTCTATTTTAAATAGGTCATGTAAAAGGTGACTTGTTGGTAATTTTAAAGCTGTTATTGCTGGCATTGTAATTAAACTTATCCACTTTCATCATCACTTATTACATAATCAATTATTATTACTGTGGATAATTCAGTTTATTATTCTCCTGAGTAATCAGTTAAGTGTCTGTCTGTAAAACATTTCTTGCAAAACTAATTATAATGTGGTTATTTAGTTATTGTGATGCTAATAAAAACTGTTTAAAATAAATTACAATGAAATCAGTTTGTGGTAATATTGTATAGTATATTGGCAGTAACAAATTGTTAAACACATACTTAGAGCAGCTGTAAACTGGTAAAGTTATTAGTGGTATATTTATTTTTCATCAAAGTTCTATGTTCTCACTGCCCTCTTCTCTGGTTCCCTTTACAGGTCTGGTCTAATTTGCAGTGTTTCTGACCAAGATGATTGACTTTCATGCATGTGCAGAGTATGTGGTGGAGTGGGCTGCCAAAGACCCCTACGGTTTCCTCACCACTGTCATCCTGGCCCTTACACCACTTTTCATTGCCAGCTCCCTTCTGTCCTGGAAACTGGCCAAGATGATTGAGGTTCGTGACCGGGAACAAAAGAAGAAGCAGAAACGTCAGGAAAACATAGCCAAAGCAAAGAGGACCAAGAAAGACTGAGTCTGCGAGGGCAGGAAAGAGGGCATTTAATAGGAGGAGCAACCACCTTGCCAAATAAACCTCCTTATTCCAAATCATGACACGGTGCCCTTCCTCGTCCCAGCCCTATCGACAGCACAGGGCCACCACTTCTAATGTCCTAAATGGAGAAAGGGACACTGGCCCCACAGGCCTAATAGTGCTGAGACAGACAGTGCTGCCCAGAGACTTGTCCTGGTGGGACTCTGGTCAGCAAGAGCACAGTGGTCATCCGTACCATGGTTTTTATACAGAGATCTGCAGATTCAATTATACAGCTGTTGCTGAACTTTGCATTCCAAAATTAGCATTGTGCTAACCTGAAAATGTAATAAGTGTACTGGAACTATTATTTTCATGTCACCTGCAAAGGATCCAAATCAACCTTTTATTGAATAAAGTTTTCATGGTTGATAGATCCATCCATCCATCCATTTTCATCCATTTTCATCCGCTTATCTGTTACCGGGTCGCGGGGGCAGCAGTTGCCACCCAAATCACACTGCACCGTACCAACCGCCCTAAACCTTCCTGCGGGTGGTGAGTCCACTGGAAGGTACCAACCAGCCACCTGGTTGATAGATACAAAAATTAATTATTTTCTTTTTTTTAGTATTTAGCATTAGAAGATCTTGAAACTATGTTCAATTGTTCCACTTTAAAACTATTCTGCGATGTTTTATTATACTTGTACTCAAGCACTACACTAAACCAGGGCTTTTATTGCACTGTTCAGCAGTTTGTATAAAAAAATTAACAGCATGAGCACAAGTCATGAGAGGCACTAAATGACAACAGATGTAAAAGATCAACTTGTTGCCAAAGGTGACATTAAATATTGATTGGAGGGAGAGAGGATTTCTCTCCCCTGGTTTTACTGTTCCATCAGTTTATTGGTTTAAAAATTTACTACGTTCACTAACTGTTGTAAAATAATTAACCATTCAGAGGTCCAGAGGGATGAATAGGTTTTATAGGCACAGTATCTTGCACTTTCCATGGTGTAAAGACAATCAACAGTTAAGACCGATAATCCTAAATACAGACTGTCAAACAAATGCACATTTCAGCTCTTTCATTCCCCCCTTCCTTCCCCGTTGCCCTTGATTAATCTCAGGATGCACTGTGCTGCCGTCTCCTGACGGCTTTAGCATTGCAGCATGAGCACGTTCTCAGCTGCAGGATCCCACTGCACTGCTTTTTTAGCAGGTTCTCAAGCTGTTACCTCAGCTGATGGAGCTTCACACGGCTGCCAATTACTTTACTTTAGCATTGTTAGCATTTGGATCTACAGGCACTGGCGGCACCTTCAAGTTACTGCAAGTACAAACAAAAGAATGATGGTGAACATCTGTCTCCATCTCGCCCACTCTCTGCTGCCTCCTCTGCAGTTGCTGCGTCCGTTTGTTTGTCTTTCTACACATTGTTCACAAGGCTTTTCTGTTTATATCTTTTTTTTCTGCCTAGTATCTCCAATAACCTTTGTCCATTGTCTCCCCTCGACATGTTTCCAAAGCCTAATTTTTTTCTACAAACTGCTCAATATTATCGTCCTCTGCTTTTTTTCATTGCTAGATTTACTCACATTGGTCACGCTGCTGCCAACTCCACCTCCAGTTCAGCTTCCAAACCATACACCATAGCATATCTCACAAAAGCCATGGTTGTACATTTTATTTAAATTGAGTTTAAAAGGTTCTGTTAGGCAACTGGACGTGGATTTTCTAAAAGAAGACGTTTCACCTCTCATCCAAGAGGCTTCTTAAGTTCTAACTGGTGGTGGGGAGTACAGCAGATATAAACTCTAGGTGTGAAAGAATAAAGCTACTTCAGCTCCACCCTGTTGGGTGGGGCCTTGGGGTCAACTGTGAAAGTGTAAACAGTCGTTAAGAGTCTGATGGGTTGTTGTGGTCCCCATCAGAACGGTTTCGGTCACCTGCCTCTTTGTTGTGTGAAACTGAAGTGAAACGTTTGGGTATGTTCCTAAAAGTGCTTTGTATGTGGGTGATAGGTTGTGTCTGAGTCCACCTCCTCTGTTGAGTGATGGTCTTTCCAGGTTGACAAAAATGGCTTCTTTTACCCCTCTCTCAAACCATCTGTCTCACTGGCCAAAATGTGTACATTGTTGTCCTCAAAGGAGTGTGTTTTGTCCT